ATATCTATTTATACATCATCCATCTTGGGAATGGAGAGGGGGTCAGAGATTGATGCCAAGCAACAGCCAAATTGTGCCCAGCCATGAGTCACGGGAGCTGTGTCCCACCAGGAGAACCTTTCCTACACAGGCACCAGGGAGGGGAGGAGCTGGGAGGGATGGGGGGCACAGGGAGCACTCCAGGAGCCTGGTTAAACTGGGAAATGGGGATGAGGATGTCAGTGTGGGGGTTCCCCACCGTGGGGATGAGTTGGAGGGGAGCCCTGCACTGGGTGGGCTCCTGATGACACCCCAGAGGTGGTCCTGCACCTTTGGGGTCTCTCTGTTCACTCCCAGGAAGTTCAATGAGGTTCAGGAAAATAACTTTTCCCCCAGGCCCAGGACTGGACAGGGATCACTGTCACGGGCCACAAGGTTATCCCTGTGCTGGGAATCCCTCCTGGATTTACCCATTGCTGTCAAACCTGGATCCATCTGTACCTGATCCATCTGTACCTGATCCATCTCTCTGTTCCCACTTGGATAACAGCCCCTGTCCTCCCCAGATGCTCTCCAAGGGATTCATAATTTGTCCTCACTGCACAATCAGCAGCAGGGCTGGCCCTGGAATTCCTGAAATGCTGTGAGGGCTTTTTTTGGGAAGGAGCTTTTAAGGGCAGGACAAACCAAGCAGGAAGGGGAACAGGGGAATTCTCCAGACTCCAGAAGTGTTTCAGCTCCTTGTTTCCCACGTGTTGGAGCTCTCTGTGCACACTGAGCTGTGCAGAGCTCCGGGGGGGGTTTGCAGCACAGTGACCTGTTTGCAGGATCCATTTCCTTGTGGAAAGTGGTGTTTCAGGAACAGTTTTATCGAGGAGGTTTCTTAGGATGGGTTGGGAGAGGAAACCTCTGTGTCCCACCCCTCCTGCTCTCCCCGTGTGCTGGAATTGCTGCTGTGGCTGTTCCTCTGGGGCCTTTTTAATGAGACTTTCCCCAAAGCACCGCTCCCATGGCAGGCTGGGCTGAATTTTGGGTGAGCTCCAGCTGTGCCTGTCCTGCCAAGAGGGCAGTGTTAGTGCTGTGCCCATCCCGACACATCCATTTCCAGGTCACGGTGACCGTGACCGTGGGGAAACCTGCCCAAAATAGCCCGTCCCTGGCACTTCCCCTGGTTTTTGGCAAACACAAGGGATGATGTAACCGGGACAGGCTGCAGAGGTGACGCTGCTGCAGAGCCCTGGCCGTGATTCCCAGCTGGGCAGGGATGCAGGATGTGTTATTCCCATCCCTGGGCTGCCTGCCCTGCAGAGCTGAGGTGACACCACGTGGAGCTTTCCCTGTGTCCTCCTGGGCTGGTGCTGCAGGAGCCTCTCCGGAGTGTGGAGCTCTCTCTGAGCAGGAGGTTTGGTAACAGTTGTTTCATAACCCACTGCTTTCATAACCAGCTCCTCCAACACCCAACAACCAGGCTCGTGTGGCTTGTCCTCGGCTCGTGTGGCTTGTCCTCGGCT